GTCAAACGAATGACATCCAGCAAACAAACTCCTATAAATCTGTGTTTAAGCAGAGAGTTATCTACTAGACTGAAGAATATGTATACAAATTTCAGTATAATACAACGTATCTGATAAATTGCATACTTTTGTATACAAACATAAAATCTTACTTCTTTCTATATAATACATCTCTGTAATCCAAAAAATTTTGGTAGACGGACTCACAGCCAAACTTTCAGTTAGGAACTCACTTTTATTTTTAAAAAAATGACAAATGCATTTCAGGTTGGTACACTCATCCAACCCCTCTTCAGTGTCTTAAAAATAAAAATTGTGTATGGGCTACCAACACATCTAAACACCAACACCTGTTTTTCATCTATACATCTTATAATTATTGTACAAGCTTAAAGAGCACTTGAAGTGTTTGCATAACATCACTTTGTTAAAATATATATTTTTTGATATAAATAGTATACGAACAATCCAACGAATCAATAGTATACGAACAAATTATTGCGATTGATTAAAAGAAGGGTGCTAATGTTTTGCTTAGTGTTGTGTGGATTGTTCGTATACTATTCATATTAAAAAATATATATTTTAACAAAGTGATGTTATGCAAACACTTCAAGTGCTCTTTAAGCTTGTACAATAATTATAAGATGTATAGATGAAAAACAGGTGTTGGTGTTTAGATGTGTTGGTAGCCCATACACAATTTTTATTTTTAAGACACTGAAGAGGGGTTGGATGAGTGTACCAACCTAAAATGCATTTGTCATTTTTTTAAAAATAAAAGTGAGTTCCTAACTGAAAGTTTGGCTGTGAGTTCGTCTACCAAAAAAACAAAAAATTTTTTGGATTACAGAGACATATTATATAGAAAGATATAACATACAGCAATCCAGTTATATGGTGTAAAATCTTACTATTGAAATCTTACCACAAAAAAGTGCATAGTAATTTTGACTGATTTTGAATTGGTCTGCACATCCTCTGTACCATATAATGAAGTCATAAATGATAAATTAATACATTAAAAAGAATGTAGACATTGTGATACATTGTAAACATGAAAATACTATTGTTAATCTTAACAACACAAATTAATCTTGATCATATTCCAGCTCTATTTTATAAACATATTAAACACAGGGCTTCATTAGTTTTATCCAGACTTTTTTAAAAATTTACCCAATATAGTTTTGTTACAACCCAATGGATTCATCCACAATTATTGTACCTAAAAAAGACAAAAATTCTTTTACACCAGCTTCTCTTTCCCCATCAATGGATAAGCAGGAGTCATACTGTCTATTGCAAAATTTGCAATTTGTGAAAATTATATTCATCTGGTGATTGAATACTGAATAACCTGAGAGTAGTCCTGAAAAAAGTCACTCAGTGAAAGAGTATCATAGAGCATGAATCCATCTTGGTCCAATACTGAATAACAATAATAACTGTTAATAAACAATAATAAAGTTATTTGAGAAACTCAGTCATAAAAACACTGCATTTGTTTTTTATATTGTCAGTTGTCCTTTCATTTCAGGTTGGTACATAAAGTCAACCAATCCACAGTAATCAAAAGTAACCTGGCAAATAGGTTGGCAATTGCTGTAAAAAGCCAGTGTGACATCCTGTTTAAAAACTTTGAGATTTGTGTTTTGTATGATATCCATTTTCAGATTTCCTCAAAACTTTTACCTGTAAAACATTGTGAGCTATATTATCACTCAACAACAACTATATTTGATAACTTTGAAAAACTGTTTATGTAATTTGCCAGGATATTAGACAGGTGTTTGGGTGTTTGATTCCATGATCCCTTATATTTTACTTACTTCTCTTCATGATGATTTTGAAATCAATCCATCAAACATTCTTGGTTAAATAATTACCATCTTGTCCACTCATGTAAAATTAACTTGGAGATTTTGAATTTTTGGATTTTCTGCCTACTTTGATATTCAATAAGGCTCAATTTTAAGTAGTTAGTTTTTCTCCATCTTTATTAATAACCCACATATTCAATCTAGAGTTATTGAGTATACAAATGCTATCAAACTTATTAACCATAATCCCATATACCTACATTAAAATTAATACTGATAAATTGGTTGTTGTGTTTCTGTCATCCATGAACCATATTTTTCTTCTTTGATTGTAGGTGATAGCTCCCTATATGTTCAATTTGCTAATGATCTCAGTCTCAGACTTATTTTTTATAATAAATTATCATTTAAACACCATAAGATAATTAAAGCAATAGTAATTTGTTGTAGTATATCATGGCAATATTGCCATATTGTTTCTTCTAAGAATATTTTATATTCTATCTTCTTTGCCAATTTTCAACCACTGATATATTACTACCTACCTATCTGGTCCATGGCTGCTCCATCATTTATTTACAAAATATCTCTGGAGTTACATAAGATTTATTTGTTATAAAATAAATTATGTCATTTACCTTACACCAGTTCATCAAATATTGCCAGAGCTAAACAAGGTTTCCCTGTATTAAATGAATGAATTAATACTTTAATTGTTAATTTTTTAAAGTATTTTAACAGTTTTATTTTAATGCATGTCTTAGTTTTTTTTATAATCACTCATCATACTTCATATATTCATGTCTTCCCTTATCACTTAAGTATTTAATGCCCATAGATCTGTTTTTTACTGCTAAGCTAATAGTGTAGATGTACATTACCAAGACTACACTCAATATATAAATTTCTATAAAAATATGTTATATCAAACTGAATTGTTTAAATATTTGTTATTTTTATGTTAGTTTTTCATATTTTTGTTTCTTGTATGATTTTATTTTTTTTGGGGGGACTATCTTGTTTTGGGTAGTGAAAATCTATTGTTGACCTCAGATATTTCCTTTTGTAATTTAAAAAAAAAAATTTTAATATTTAAAAGTTAGGTAGTCATTTCATTGCCTTTCCTTATCAATTATGATAAAAACAAATACTATTTCAACTATTTAAACAATAGTAAAAGCATAAATTAAAAAAATTACTCTCTTTATGAATGATATGTAACAAAATTATAATTACCTTAAAAACTTATTTATTCTAAAATATTCATCTGATAAAAATGAACAAAGTGTTAATTGTTACACACAAGACAATAAGACACACAGCTTACACAGGAAAGTGTAAGCTAGTTTGTGCTTAAATAAAACAGATGGCATAACAAGTGTTAAATGATAATACTTATATACATATCTAGTGATTAATGATTCATTACTTGTTTTTATAAATCACCTATTTATGAGTTTTAAAAATAAATTATAATGATATACTACTATATAATAACTTAATCATTTATCCTTCAAATCTCACTATTATGGATTAGGTTATAATATTAATTCATCCAGAAATACACTGTGAATTTAAAAAACTAAAAAATGCATTTTTGTAGTCCCAATGTGAACAGCCACATTTCTTCTGACTGACAAGGACTAAGCAGACAAGAATATCATCCAATATATTGGGTTGTTCAGAAAGTAAGTTCGGTTTTTTTCTGTGGAAAAAAAACAATATTTTTATAATAAATAAATATTTTATTGAATTATATATCAACCTTTTTGGTCAAATACCTGTTGTCATCGTTTCTGGTAGTAGCATGATTTCACATTCATAAAAGTTTTGATCGTTGCTTACAAAAAACTAATCCAAGTGATTTTTGACATTGTCATTTCAAGTAAATGTCTTACAGTTAAAAGAAATTTGTATAGACCGGAACAAGTAATAATCCGAGTGTGCTCGATCTGGCAAATATGATTGGTGCGATAGCACGTCCCATCTAAGTTATAACAGTTTCTGACAAGTTACCAAACTTGTGTGAAATTTGATATTATCGTGGTAGAACACTACACCTGTTTTGTTGATCAATTCTAACTGCCTTTTCTGTTTGATGATATTCCTCAATTTGTTTACTTGATGGCAGCACACTTTCGAATCAATTGTTAAATTGTCTGGTAAAAGCTCCAAAAAAAATGTCCTTAAAATCCCAGCAAAAAGAGCATCTCTCTTTAAGAACATGTGGAACCCATATATCAAGCTTTAAAATGAAGCCAATTTGTTTCAAGTAATCATAAACAATTAAATTTGACAAATTTAATCTCTTAGTGATTTCACGTGTTGTTATTTGGCAGTTTGCTTCAATCAGTGCCTTTATTTCATTTTCATTGGCTTCAACTGGCCATCCAGAACGTGGTGCATCTTTAATATTGAAATTGCCAGAATGAAATTTTGTAAACCAGTTTTGGCACTGTTGTTCTGTCAACACATCATCTCCATACATGTACCCCAATACTTTCATTGCTTGAACAGCATTTTGCTTTTTAGGTAATAAAAAAGCAAAATATGCAGAAAATGATGCTTTCAATCTTCCATGTTTGATGGGACACAAAAAATAAACAATTGCACAAAATCAAACAAAATTTTTTACAAATAAGCCTTAAAATGCTAGCTGTCAAAATATATATAGATAATATGGTTTAGAAAGAAACTGGCAGGAAAAATACGATTAATCCGTCTAGTGGTAAAAAAACGAACTTACTTTCCGAACAACCTAATATATCCAATGCTTATCAGTTGCAATGTTGATATCAGTTACAAAAAATTTTATATATGACAATTTTACTAATTATGTTATGTAAAGGTATGTAGATGTTCGGATGTTTGTTTTATTTTATATAATTGTTTATTCAGTTTATTGTATCATTGCAACATGTACTGAAGAGGGGCTAAAGTCCAAAATGCATTTACATTTAAGAATGGTATTAAAATATATTGAAAGATATTCTTGTCTGCTTAGTCCTTGTCAGTCAGAAGAAATGTGGCTGTTCTAAATTTACGATATATTTCTGGATCATTTATTACATATATGTCCACAGAAAAATCAAGAAAGCACTTTTCTTTTTAAATATTAATGTAATGATGTACACATCTTGATATTAAATAATCATAAAATTAAAATTATAATAAATAACTTACTTTTACAGATTGATTATGGATATTTAAACAGAATGTTATTCTCTGATGAAATGCTGTTTGAGGTTCTCTAGTGCAGTAAACATCAATATTTTCTTTGGATTGCATATATCCCTTATGATGATCAACATTAGCTTCAATTACACCGTCACGAATATCCTATATAAATCAAAGTGCTCTCATTTAAACTGAACTATTTGTAAAATAAAATTTATATTTTTAAAATTAAATTCAGTAAGTAAAGTTGAAACAAGAAAAAAGCATGTAGATTCTAATAAAATATTTAATTAAATACTATTTTTTTAATCAAGGATTTCTCCCACACTGGGTCTTATACAACAAATACGTATAGTCTTCAACCTATATCCGGCGTGAAAATTCTGTGAAAAAAGGAGGGGCATCGAAAACGTTTGCCAATATTGGTTTGGAATTTTCACACTGGATATAGGTTGAAGACTATATAATATCAATATATTATTATAAGAGAATATATTATAAGAGAAATTATGGGTATAATACCCATAATTTCTCTTAAAATATATAATTACAAAAGTTTAATAATATATTTAAAATACTTATCAAAATTCACTAAATTTTCTTTCTGTCAAGACTATACACTTATGGGCATTAGAGGAACATTGTGGTATATGCTAAACCAGGGGTGGCCAACATTTTCAGAAGGCGGGCCAAATTTCAGAAATAATATTTCCTGCCGGGCCATGCATCTAATTTTTTTTGTGTGTTAATTAAAGTAAACAAGCAAGCGTGCTACAGCTTCAACCACATCGTCGTTTCCCAGTAGGTGAGATCGTGGTCAAACACTTGCCTCATTTAATGTAAAAAAACACAAAAAATAGGTATATTTATTTTTTTCAAGAAAATAAAACATAACCGAGAATCAAACATATTTATTAGACAATTTAAAAATATTTAAAAGTGAGACATCTGACTTTGTTTTACAGAACTAAGTGCATCAAAATTGATCTCCAATGATGATGTCGCTACACGCAAACAGTTTTCCAAATGAACATCAGTAATTCGTGATCTCACTTGTGATTTGATGTACTTCATGCGACTAAAAAGCTGTTCACACGCATAAGTATTTCCAAATAGCGAAACCATCGACAGAGCATGTTTGTAAAACGCAGGATATTTATCCTTGTCCAAATATGTTTTATAGAACTCTTCCAAACCAACTTGATGGAATTTCTCCTTTAACTGTGTATCACAACATATTTCACAATGTTCCATTTGTAATCTTCCTGGTAATAAATTCACGTCTACCGCGAATGGCGTTGCAAATGCACGAAAAAGCACATGATGTTTTTCAAAATCCTGAAATCGGTTTTTAAATTCGAGATTTAAGTGAGATATCAAAGAAGAGTATTTATCTGCCACGTCCTGTGTGACGTCTGGTTGCAATGACAATGTAGGAAAGTGAGTAAAGTTTTTTGTCCTCAGCTGTTGTTCCCAAAGACCAAGTTTCATTTGAAATGCAGAAATATGATTATACATCTTATTAATTAACTGATCTTTCCCTTGTAGACAAGTATTAACATCATTTAGGTGGTTAGTTATATCGACCAGAAATGCAAAGTCGCAAACCCACTCTTTGTCTTCAAACTCTGGGATACTTTTTGACTTGCTTGCAAAAAATGATTGTATTTCTTGCTGCAAATCAAACACTCTTTTTAACATTTTGGCACGGGTCAGCCATCTTACTTCCGCATAAAACGTAACGTCATTATAATCTGAGTCCAATGACTTCAGAAATTCTTGGAACTGACGGTGATTCAACCCGTTCGACTTGATAAAGTTCACTACTTTGACAACCACTTTCATGACATGGTCCATTTTAAGGGACTTTGAACATAAATTCTCTTGATGAATAATGCAATGAAAATTTAGCATTGAAGTATTACCGACTTTGGAGGCCTCATTTTCAATCTATTTTACTAAACCTTAGTGTTTCCCAACCATTGCTGGAGCACCATCCGTTGTTAAGCCCGATAAGTTGTTAAGTTGTAACGAAAAGCGATTCAATGTCGATGTAACTGCCTCTAACAAATCTCGTGACTTAGTAGTGTCCTTAAGTGGATATAGTGCCGCTAATTCTTCTGTCTTTTTAAAATGGATATCAACACCCCTGATAAAAATTGCCAATTGGGCAGTATCTGCTATATCTTTGCTTTCATCCAATGCTAGAGCATAAAATATAAACTCGGATGCTCGACTTTTCAAATTATCTTCAATATGCTTTCCAATGTCATCCACACGCCTAGTAATTGTTTGACGAGACAGACTTATTTTTGAGAAATCCTTCTTCTTTTCTGAACACAGAATTTCAGCGACGCTCTCCAAACATTCCTTAACCATTTCACCATCTGAATATGGCTTCGATTTTTTTGCTAGTATCATGGCTACTGCATAACTAGCTTTTACATAGCATGTTGACTCTGAATCCGCTCTAGTAAATATCTTTTGTTGTACAGAAAGTTTTTTTTTTTTTAAATCATTTACTTGGTCTTGTCGAAATTGCCCTTTGTACTTATCAAACTTATTTGCATGTTTAGTCTCGTAGTGCCGTTTGATGTTATACTCTTTCAAAACAGAAACAGATTCGCTGCATATTAAGCATATGGGCTTTGTTTTAATTTCCACGAAAAAATAGTTTATAGTCCACCTATCTTGAAAACTTCTTAATTCTTCTGTGATTCTTCTCTTCTTTGGTCCAATGTCTTTACTAGTTGACGCCATGTTATGTCTTCGTTTTGAACTGAAAACATTTCTGTCCGTTGTGTGTCGCCGCGAGTTGAATTTTTGTCGATGACTAAAGAAAAGTTCCCGTTTTTAAATTTAAATTACATAAATAAAACGTTTCAGGATTTACTTACTTATAGAATCGATATGGTAGATAGGCTACTTGGTTAAAGTAGTTTGAACTGTTATTATAAATATGTTAAATATGTATTTTAACGTCGATCGCAAAATCTCTCCAGATGCATTGGCGATAATAAAACGAAACTACAGAATAACATGGAACTTTGCCTAGCTGGACTGAAAGTAGTTATGAGTATGAGCCCGATAGCATTGCGAGCTTCCCGAAAACGCCGAAGACCACAGAACATATATAGCTGAAGTAGAAGTTTCATATTACATTTTATCAACACTTAGCGTCGGACAAAAACTAAGTAACCTTAAGTATGAAATTGCGGGTTATTTGAAATAGCTAAAAATCTATGAATTTTTCCAAAAATGAGATATATTTCAAATTTCTCTTAGCTATAATTTAAAAATACATGATACGAATAACTCATGACGTAATGCTCTTTTGGTGATATATACAATAAAGTTAACATTTACGTTCATTTGACCTAGCTCCGCGGGCCGCAACATGACTCCCGATGGGCCGCATGCGGCCCGCGGGCCTCGTGTTGGCCACCCCTGTGCTAAACCACTGTGCTATAAAATGCTGAGATATAGACCTATCTGAGTTTGAGAAAGACATTATGAAATGTTATCTAGATATCCTGTCTATTCATACTACAGAAACAAAACTGCAGTATTCAAAATTGATTATACAGTTTGTGCTACATCAATGATTAGATACTGTATTTTCATGGAATGTCCAGCATGCCAGTTTATCTGGGAAGACCATGAAATCAGATATTTCCGTATGGTAAAAACTGACATGCCAGTTTATCCCAGGATAATGCCAGCATACCAGTTTATGTGAGGTTATAGATCCCTCTCTAGAGGGTGCATTATGAAAAAGCAATGAGTTTTTATTCTAAAACTGTAAAACTGTCAGCATTACATCAAAAACTATGACTATAAATTTTATGCCTTTGTGTCCTTGTATTATAGTTTTTTACTTAAATTGTCTACAAGGACTACTTATTTATTACTAGGACTTATTATACCAGTGAATGGGTTCTGCAAATTAAGAAAACAATTCAGAAAAAACAGTCTTTATTTTTCACCTGTATTGTACCCTTGTAGACAATTTAAGTAAAAAACTACAAGTTTAAGTTCTTTATTTTGTCTTCTTTCTAAGGACATAAAATAATCTTGAATTCTAAAAGTGATTTTTTTTGTGTATTTTATTATTATTTGATTCAAAAACAAAAATATACATATTAAATTTAAGAAACTGGCTGTAAATTATCTCAGCTTACACTGATTAACATAGGCTTTTGTGTGAAGTTTGAGAGGAAAGTGTTATTTTTAAGGTCAGGGTAGATGGTCAGTGTAGCCCACACTGACTAACAACTACAGTCAATATGTGGTTAATTGTTTTGTCTTGTAAATGAAAACTCTTCATAATTTTATGTCAGTCAAATTACAATGTTATTATTTTATTGTACTTGGAAGAATATTTTCTTTAACATTTAATTAACAACTAGTTTTATTAGATCTGATTAATTTTATATTTTAGTGGCAATTTAACCAGAATGCTAGTCTCCCTCGTTTATATGTGGCATGCCAGTCATTCCACGAAAATACAGTATTAGAACATATTAAAAAATAAACTATGAATTGGAAAACTCAAATTACCCAAAGGATAAGGATTGCAGAGTGCTACAGAGACAACTATTGAGAAGCAGAACATAACTTACAGACATTATACAGGAGTTTCAACCTATAATTGGAATCACCATTTCCATCAGCACATTACTTACAAAGACTCATGCTAGGATATTATGATAGAGCCAAAACATACAGTTTTTTAATCACTGAAGACAATTGCCTGTCTATTACAGGGTAAAGTGTACCACAATTGGTCCATCAAGTAATGGAAATTCTTTCTATAAAATTCATTCTATAAAATAATCCAAATTTACTTTTCCTCATTTAGATTGTCATGTTTCGATACAGTGACTACTAGAGAAAAATCTGTTGCTTGACTATGTTACTGATCTTCTGCAAACATTCTACATGTCACATTCAAATCCTTAGCTATTGCACTTTTTAAATGTTATTGTCTGTAATCAATGTCTTTGGACAACCACTTTTTGAATCATTTTCAATTGACTCATAGCCATCTTTGAATTGACTGAACCAGTTGTAAACTTGTTTACGACTAGTTTAGTCAATTCAATAGTTTAAACAATGGTTTTGTCAATAGGCAATCATCCCTACATACTTGTTTTAGTAACTAAAATGTTTCAGTAAAACTTTTCTTTAGTTTCATTTAGAACTTAGTTAACATACTGCAACACAATTTTCCAACAAGGGTCACGAAATAACCCTTACATTTCATGCCATACAAAGGATTGTTATGAACCAATTCAAATGCTATTATGCACAGTTGATAATATAACATTTAAAATTTTGAATTTGACCACTGTACCAGTTGCATCATCTAGTTATATTTCTAGAGCAAAAGTTTGATTTTTTTAGACAACCTGTGTATAAAGAATATTTCACATTTTCTAAAGATACTCTTGATGACTTTAGGCAAAGAAAAGACTGTTTGACAATTTCATACTTACAAATTAAAATTGGCAAATAATTCACATCACTTTTAAATTGACTTTTAAGTACAGATAACTTGTGGATTATCCAAATAAAATTAGATATACTGATACCAAATATCTACATTTCTATGATAATAATAAATAAAATAATAGTTAATTTGTTACTACATAATAATAAATTTAAATAATAGTTAATTTGTTACTACATTCCAAGAGGCCATTCAAACTGAATTGTTTAAAGTCCAAAACAGTTTTTCCCACAAGAAATAATGGAAGTGAATTAATTCATTCCTTGATCCTAAACAATACCCATTTGATAAACTTAAAATTGCAAATATACATCATTTAATATAAAAATAACACAATTACTGTAATAATAAATTAAGACACAAAAACATCAAATGGAATATGTAAATACCGTATAATAAATTGAAAATTGCATTTACTAGGCACACACCATTGACTTCGGTATATTAAACATGGCCACCAGATCTGCCACATGTGTACCATTTTCATGTTTCATGATAACCTCCTTTTTAATTACAATTGTCATTACTACAATTTTCCTTTTATACTTTGTTGCTTCCACGCCCTTTTTTAATTCCATAGTTAATAAATATATTGAGTTGAACAGAAAGTTTTTGTCTATATTTAACAGCTAATTGTTACTTAACATAGTTGTGTAATTTAATACATTACTGTTAATGAGAGACTGTAATCTTTGTTTAGAAGTTTATTTTAAACTTTTTCTTCATATTTTGTTTGAATAAAATTGAGTCAAAATGTCTTCAGATAAAGAGCATTTCTGACATGCTACTCTTCATGAATTTCAGAAAAGATATAAAGCTATCCAAACAGTAAAACAGGTTTTTGATATGTATGGGGAAGATGCTTCTAAACTTTGAGCATGTCAAATGTGGTTTAAAAAATTGTGCAAAAAATTTTGAACTAATGGATAAACAATGTATGAGGCACTCAAACAATGTTGACAAAGAAAAATTGCAGGAAGAAACTGTTAAAAAATGATGAAAAAACACAATATATATAACCAAACGTATCAAAAAAAAGCACTGAAAGCATATGAACGTAACACAAGAGCAAGAGATGACTTGCATTTACGATTTAAGTGCATTTTTTCAGTGCAAGCAGAGTTTGAAATCCAAGGCAAATTTTGGTCATTAGCAATTGAAGTTAGTCATTTAAAGTATGAAGTACCACTGTATTTTTAAATAAATTTAAAACATAAATCAAATACAGTATTAAATAAAAATAAAAAATAAATTTATTAAACCTCAAAATTATCTAATAATATGAAATTATCCACAAATTCAAAAAATTTCATTTAAAAACAAACCAGCAACATTTAAAATTTTAGTGGTACCATCTGTTATCATATTTTATTTTAAAAACTTTACATTTTTAACTACCGTGTTTCCCCGAAAATAAGACAGTGTCTTATATTAATTTTTCCTCTGAAAAATGCGCTAGGTCTTATTTTCAGGGAATGTCTTATTTTTTCCAGGAAGAAGAATTCACATTTATTATTGAACATAAAAATTCCCAAGTCAAACTTAGACGAGAGTGACGTATATCTGGTGTGTCGAACTGTCGCTTTTTTATAGTGTCAACATCAAACTCGATGACCAATTAGTGCTTACTGAACCGTAGCTCTATGCAAATGTCATGTGGCGTGATTCCCGGCCGACCAATTAGCCATCCCCAGCCGTAACGTTATGCAAATCTGTGATTCCCAAGCCATAGTCTTATGCAAATCATGCCGTGTGGCGTAATTGTCTGCTGACCAATCAGTGGCTGTACTTTCAAAAAGCCAATGGCCACTTTCAACCGTCTGTCGATGACCGATGACCGTTATGATTAAAAAAAACTTCGCTAGGTCTTACTTTCAGGGGGAGGTCTTATTTTCAGGGAAACACGGTATTATAAAATGACAAAAAGCTTACTTTTGAGGGTAGGGATAAGTTTTATAAAAAATGGTAAATGCTAATAATAAGTAAAATTGTCATTAAGTCTGACCTACTACAGATACACATATCCCTTTTATCTCCCCACCCTTCAACCTTTAACCACCAAAATTTAATAGTGTCAATCCCCCTAATAAACAAACCTCCCTGCAAAATTTCAGAAATTTTTGAAAAAAAGCACAGGCAGTATATTAAACTTCAAACAGGGTGAACAAAATCATGCCACAGGCACACATACACATACTAACATTGATAAATACATAAACTACTCCCAATTTTTTTTGCATTTCTCCAAGTTTCAAGTTGCCTTAATTCCAAAAATGTAAAAATCTTGGGGTCTTTTTTCTGACATATTGCTATATTTCCCCTCTGTTATATATAACAGTTGGAAAAGTAAAAAATCAAAATAAATTTTATTATTGCAAAACAATTGCCAGATTATATAAGGCTACTATTTAATAATTAAATATCAAGTAATTTGGCCTAGAAGTAGATGGTTACATGCCATCTTTTGATAAATTTAACAACTAATTTAGAAAGTTTGTATGGCATTAATATAAAAATTAAGTTAACAGATTTTTATATTTGTAAATCATGTTACCTTAGCAACAATAAATTCAGAATCTTCTGAACTATCCAATTGTAATTTACTAGCAATATTAGCAAGGGAAATCCGAGAGTAAGATAAATTGATCATACGAACACCAGTCTTGATCACATTATGTCGTAGACGAATAATCAAAGTAAATGTATGATCATCTTGAAATGTCTTACTGAATCTGTCCACCACTCCATTGAAGTTGAAAAGATTTCCTTGACGAACAGCTGTAAAAAATATAATTAATTAATTCAAACAATAATTACAATAAACTGAAAATCTAACATTAAAAAGTAAATATAAAATGTAGTAAATTTTTAAAAATCTTTTGAGTTCTGTTGAGCATTTTTCTTTCCTGGACAAAACAGTGTTTGTTGCCTGGCAGAGTGACTTTAATACAGCTGAATAAGCAAATCAATAACAGTCTGTTAAATGAAACAGACTGTATCATTGGATTGATTACCCAGTTATATTAAAGCCATTTTACCAGGAAACATCATGCCCATAAATATTGAAAATTTCGTGATACCATCCAATCAATTTTATACATATAATATAAAAGTAAAAAAACACTCCTGACAAAAAGTATTTGACAAGTTGGTTGTTTCTTATTTCATTAAATCAAACTAAATAAAATTATGAAGTGATATACTAAAATCAAGTTAATGGCTTTAGAAAGGAAGGAATAATGCAACACTTCATTTTGCAGATACTGCATCATCAAAAATGACCACAATTATCTCATCCTATTGATAGTATAAAAATAAAACATGTCCAGACAATCATCAGTTTTCTTCACCGTATTTATCTGTTTTGGTACATGCATTACTCCAAAAACTTAACATCCTATCCATAAAAAATAAATCATTAAAATTGTACACAACTCTGCACAATTGAGGCTATTCCTTAACCAAACCTGCTCAAAGCCTTGGATGTGCTTAATCTACTGCTATCTACAGTCTGAAAAAGCTGAAAGAAAAGCAGCACAGTAAATAATAATCATGTAATCATATAAGGAATGTCCATCTCTAAAAAAATATATAGTAGTAACCATTTCTTTACATCAGAGCAATTGGGAAATAGTGAGGTTGTGGACAACATTTTCAACGTGAAAACTTGAACGTCGGACGTTCAGCGCTGCCATCCTGTAAACCTAGAAATTTCAATGGTGTTTGGAACGTTGAGCATGACCTGATATTCCAAACGCCATTGTCAAACTTCTAGGTTTACAGGATGGCGGTGCTGAATGTCCGACATTTATGTTTTGGCAATGAAAACTTCAGCCGCAACCTCACTAATGTGTGGTAATTATCAACTTGAGCCTGCTGTAGTGCATCCATTGTCCAAAAAATACTAACATGGATTTAATTGTTTATTGAGCAAAAAGAAAATGTCTTCTTGTTGCTGCAATGTCAAGAAGTCATGTAAAGTTCACTGAATCCAACTAGAAAATATTTATGATCTCCAAAGAGTCTCCTCAATGTCCAATGATGATCTCAGATTTGTACAGCAGCATTCCAGGAGAGTCGACTGACTGTGTCACTAGAACTATTAAGCAAGGAGGTGAAGACATAGTTTGGAAAAGCATTTCTTCTCAAGGTTATGGCCAATTATATTTTGTGAATGAAACAATGAATGCTGCACATTAGAAACATGTAAAAATAGAAATGATGCAACCTACAACAGACCATTTTCCAGATTCATCTATATTCCAACAAAACCTGAACCCATGTCACACAGTCAGAGAGTTAAGAATTTTGTTTACCTTTGGTTTCATACATATCCACTACTTAATGTTAACAGGTTGAAGTTTTTTCATTAGAGCTACTATAAGTATTAAAATACAAAATATAAACAAACTTCATATACCTAAAAAAAATACTGCAGAGATTCTATATATAAAATATTTATAAAACTAGTGCTAGATTTTAAAAAAATGCTTAATTTAATTAATAATATGAGTATTTAGGTTAGTTAATGTAATTAGAATGCATTATCTGATTGAAATGTTCTAAAGATCTTGATTCTTACAATTTTTTGAACCTTAAGCTACACTTTAAATTGATTTATTTAAGTTTGAAATCAAGGTTTATTTAATTCTAAAGAAGGTTCAAATGCTTTTGCTTTATTTCATTTAAAAATTTGTTACTTTTTATATATTTTCATCTCAATATTATAAATTTGTATATAAAGTTATATTTTATTGGTCAAATAGTACTAATTACTATTACCTAATTAATAATTTGCAAAAGACTTGCAGTATTTACATATTGTAATGACTAAATAAAATCTGTATATTTTACACTTTCCTGATGTTGAATCATCTTGCTTCAGCAAATATCATTAGTTTTAGATCATACTTTATAAATACAATGGTTACCAATTAGGGAAATCCTTATCATAAAAAATATATAAATAATTATAAAGGCTTTTTGTAAATGCAAAAGTTTTATAACAATGTATTAAGAAATCCATAATTTCAAAAAATATATAAATAATTATAAAGGAAGAGATACTGTAACGCGCGATCGCGCCGCGATGCTACGCGACGTGCGCTACAGCAGTAAACAAACCCATTTGTTTACATTAGAAGCGATTTTGTTGGCTTCTCACGAATATTTCGGTGAAATTTTGTAAGAAATAAATGATAAAAAGTGCAATTTACCTTAAGAAATTCGTCTTTGTATTGTTCTCCATTAAATAAATTCACGAATTTTAAATTTACTTCTAATCCTATTTCTTTAGCAGTCATCAAAACAGCCCTGCAGGGCGCGCTTACAGGTATTTGATACAAGTCAATTGGCATTTTCTTCTATATTGAAAAATAGGTAAACACTATATATAATGTTCTTCACCCTTTTCTATCTGTCCTGCATTATAATTGGATGATTTCCGTAAACGTCATTAATAAATAATAAAAAAATAAATATAAGAAATAAATGTCATATGCTGCCATCTGTCAACCGAATTTGTAATTAATTTTTATTTTTCTCACCTTTCCTTATTTAAAATGCTTATACAGTATTTTCTTTTTAATAATTTATAAATTGTTTACAGTTTTTTCATATTTAAATATATTTTAAAATTTTATATACTTTTAACTATAAATATAGAAACATTTTGTAATAAAAATAAAAAAAAAATTATATTAATTTTATAGTAAGTGTTTTTGATACTAGATGGCGCGAAAAGCGCATTTTTATATTGTAAACCAATTATATCAAAATTAAATTAAATTATTATTATTATTATTATTTTAATATTAATATTAATAAATTTTTAATATTTATAATATAAAAATTGTTAATTTTAAGTGAAAAAATATAAAATTTATTCTTAAGATAAGGTGCTTTTACGGGTGTGTAATACATTTCATGCGTAAATATACGTATAAATCTTTACGTAATTACCTTAATATGTGGCTATTTTTATCCCCAAAAAGGTAATTTTACCTACTAAATTATGTCAAATATTTAATTATAATTCCTCAAGTGGATTCGTATTCCATTAGCATACATTTTTAATTACGTTGCATTAACAGGCGATTTTTCGTGTCTTCAAAATATAATTTATATCACAAAATCTATAAATATTATATAATATATTCCAAGCCACAAAATAATATAAGAAAAATATAAAATTTATATTTATTTATTGTTTATTTGAGCGAAGATTCGGGTAAATCTTAATTAGATCCATACACAAGTCGTCAATGGATCTGTGGTTTTTATTCAGAATATTATTATTAATTCTTTTATTCTCGTGTAAATATATGGGATATCATTTAATGCTGTATTTAAAATAATAATTCAATATATTTAAGCATTTTTAATCCTTATAAGAAACGTATTTCAATTCTTTATTGACCGCCATTTTGGGTCTACGTTTCAACCGCTTCCCACGTAGACCCAAAATGGCGCCCAATGTTTATTCGATTCGAATTTCAGTTAATTTTAATTATTTTTCTATAATTTAAAATGTATTTTAAAGCACAATTTCATTTTAAACATAATTAAAATAATGTTCTAATCGAATAATTCTTTTAAATATTTTTAAAAATGATATTATATGAATTGATAATNTTATAATAGATAAATTGCTATGATAAATATCATAAGTAATTAAGTCCCATTACATACAATATATATAAGGTATTATTACTTTACTAAATAAAAATATTTACCTTGCGTTAACTGAAAATATGGTGCAAGAGATTTTCGAAGTGTTGGTTGTCTGAACAAAGAACGATCTGGAATTTCTCCTAATAGTAATTCAACTGTAATAGCTAATTTGTAAGCCTAAATTTAAAAATAAATAGCATGCTCTTTAACATTTTATATTTATACTTTCAACAATTTATTTTTATGTATCAGGTCAGTCCATAAGTTTGTGGTATTTTATGACCTTGAGAAAAATCGTGTTTTGCTGTTAAAATTGTCAGTCTAATGTGATACTTTTTACACTGAAGTGTTAAATTGGATCTCATTCATATAATACTGTTCAGAATTGGGAACATTTCAGTTGTTTATTTGCGTTAAAATGGAAGTAACAGATGAATATAAGAGACATGTTTTATACTTTTTATTTTTAAGTGGTGAGAATGCTACAAATGCAGCCAAAAAATTAAATACTGTTCATAATCAAACTGTAATTAGTGTAAGGACTGCGCAGAAGTGGTTTGAAAGATTTAGAAATAATGATTTTAGTGTGGAGGATAAGGCTCGTACTGGAAGACCCGTTGACTTTGATGATGATGCTCTCTCTGCACTAGTTGAAGCAGAACCATCTTTAACAGTTGATGAAATTGCGGAACGTTTAAATTCATCCCATGGAACTGTTCATAGACATCTACAACAAATCGGAAAAGTTTCAAAGCTAGGAAAATGGATACCACATGAACTGTCAATAGCTAACTGACAACAACGTCAACTGCTCAACTCAAAAGCTTCAACTGGGAAATTTTACCTCATCCACCATATTTGCCAGATATTGCTCCCAGTGATTATCATCTTTTTCGGAGTTTGCAGAATTTTTTAAAAGGAAAAACTTTTGAGGATGAGAACAATGTAAAAAAGGCTATTTCTGAATATTTTGATTCAAAACCGAAATCATTTTACAAAGACGGGATTAAAAAGCTACCATCAAGATGGCAAGAAATTGTACAAAATAATGGTGAATACATTATAGATTGAAATAAAATTTAATTAAAATTTTTTGTTGCTTTTTTTGTAGATAAAAATACACATGAACTTATGGACTGACCTGATAGATTTAAAATATACATACTTCTAAATACCACATTTCTTAAATTTTTTAATAATATGTCTTTGATTCTAAGATGCATCATGAGTTTAAAATTAAACTTTAAAATGTTTTTATGGAAGAAACCATTTTTAAATTATCAATTTTATTAAATTTTTATTAAAAACAGTACAAATGCCATAAAACAGGTAATGTTCAACAGATATATTTCATGCTCCTCTGTATATACTATACAATATTTGTTTTAATTCTGTATCCTAACTTAAAAGTATTTTAAACATTAAAAGAAATTTAAATTAAACACCAGCAAAGATCATTTAAACTAATGTGGCTATTGAGCAATACAGATGTATCTATTATTGGTGCATAATGTTTTGATTTGCAAATGCAAGATTTCATTGATTCTAAAAAAATATCTGTTTTAAACAAGTAAAAATAGAAAAAAGCACATCTTAAAATTGAAGAAATATGGTAAATCTAAAATTTGAACTGAAAATATAATCAGATATAGAATTTTTCATATATTAACCATTTGTGTAAAAAAAAAATCGATTTAAAAAAGGAAGCTAATAAAAGAAAAACATGGAAATTTTTAACATTGAAATATAATACATGTTTGTGTATTCCTTCTTTTTAAGTTTGTAATTAAAATAACATTTGCAAAATTAGTTCTAAATTAATACAACATGAAAAACAGAAATAGAATATATTACAATAAACTAAAAATATCTTTTGCTATATTAAAATGAAATTAACCAATAAATTTCAGAAAAAATTTCAATAAAAGAGAAGTATTTGTAGAAAACACAAAAACTGGATAATACTAAGGGGGAAAAAACTCCAGCACAAAAGTCATGAATTTAATGAAAACTTATGTTTTTGATTGTTGTTTCTGTCACCTGAAGATGACTGCTTAAAGCAATCAAATATGTTTGTTTGTCATTAAATTTATGTCTTTGATGCTGGAGTTTTGGTTTTTGTTGGTGTTTCTTGAGAAATATTTGTTTGAATACCTTGCAACAAAAATGCTAATGGTAACATGTAATGCACAACTAACAACTTTGTGATATCACAGAATATCATATACAATACATACATTTAAAAATTAATAAATTTTAAATTCTATAATTTTAAATTATTTTTAATATTCATATATATATATATATGCACACTNCTATCCAAAAACAATATTAATTAATCTATCACAAAGAACATATTCCATAATATTCAAATAGGTCATTAAATATTAAAAATTTTAATTACATTTTAAAAAATAATTTATTAAAAATACAAAACCAAGAGAATTTATTATTATTTTTTTTCCTTTTAAAAATTCCACAAACAACATCCTTCACCTTAAACCTTGTGACCTTAAAAATCCTTCAAAATTCCAACAGATGCGGATACGTTACCCAACGAGACAAATTAATTAAAGAAGGGCAGCATTGTATCCTCCTAACCTATTTGCCCTCGTTTAATTAATTGAAAAAAGTAAGTAAACCAGTCTACGATGCTCTCCTCCCAATTAAACAGCTGGTATATAGAAGAGGAGGAAGGGGGATCTCTCCCCTCTTCTCTCTCTTTCCATCTAAGTTACCTTCTCTAATACAAACTTCTTTACTTATCTAATATTTACGTACTTATTTTAAGGATTTTTTAGGGTTTCTTTTAAAAATATCCAATGAATATTACGTCATATAACCCTGTTTAATTCAATTAAACGAAACAGTACATGTGCATCATCTGCATCCTCACGTACACACATATACAGAAAGAGAGAGACTAATGCTAATAGAAGGGGGGATTCTGTTTCTATCATGATCCCTACTTTAATGCAATTAGTTGTCGCTTGTTTTAATTACACTCCAGTGATTTCTAACAAAGGTTTGACTAAATTACTCAACAACTAAATGAGAGCTTAACTCTTTTGTTAGTTTATACATTTTTGCTACCTTTTTTATCCCTGTCTAATGATTTTTATCTTGTTTGATTGTAAGAGGATCAAAATATCGAAGCTTTATTAATTCGAAATACCTTAATTTAAGGAATTTTTACCATTTTATACATTATTTACTAGGTAGACTTTACACGAGATGAGTGTATGAAGTATCGTTAAAAAATCAGTTTTTAGTCAATTTAACATTAAAAATATAAAAAAATTATATTATTTTTTAATTATTTAATTATATTTTTATAATTATTTAACGAAAGATGGATTCTAGAAGAGAAAATAGATTTTATCTATCAATTTTTACGAAATTCTGCATACTTAAGTATTGTCTAACACACGAAGTACTGTACGTTCCAGACAAAAAACAAGAATTGCTATGAAATTTCCAAGTTAATTCATTGAAAAATAATAATAAATATTAATTAAACAAGATAAAAAAGAAATTATATTTAAAAAAGGGGTTACGCTTCTTATTAGACTTCTGGTAACCCTACAAATCAATAGGAAGATTATATACAGAAAGGCATATGCTATGCAGAAATCCTCCACTGCCATTGGCAAAGGCATTGAAAAATAATAATAAAGGACAAACTGTATCATTTCTCATTTCAATAAAAAATAAGAACAGTTTTGCTAAAATAAAAGACTTCTGGTAACCCTACAAATAACTATTAAATTAGGGTTGATTCGCTATATAATTTAGAAATCATTCAAAATTTTACAAAAAATCAACATACTGTTTGTTTGAATCCAATAGCTGTATGTTGTGGAGCTTTACGAATAGCTTGCAGTAAATTTTTATGAGCTTTGGTATACTCTAGTTGAATTGCATTAATACGACCTAGAAAAAATTACATTAAAAATTAAATATATCAAACATTGAAAATTTTATTTATTTTTATTTTAAATTTTATGCATTACTTATGTATATAAATATGTATTAATATATACAGTACTAGCTGTTACCCACAACTTCACCCAGTCGGATTTTGCAAGCAAACACTATTTATATTCAGTATTTCAACAACCATAGTAATTGTTATATAACACCTACCGCTGAGAATGATGAGAATTGCTGAGAATCAAATGAACTGTTTTCAATTTAATCAATTTTCTGGAATGTTTACAATTGTTCTATAATCGAACCAATATGCAATAACAAATTCAAATTTAAAATGGTTCGAACATTTGGTTAAAAAATCAAAATACATAAAAAATATTTATAACAATGTCTGAAATGTTATCAATTTAATACACCTAAGTACTCAATGAAGACTAAACATAGTTGAAAACAAAAAATCATATCTAAAATAGTACAGTAGAAGCGGTTATCGCTCGGTACCACCTATCGCGTAAGTTTGGGGTATTACTGTATTTGATATTTTTATTCCGCTCTCCGATTTTATATTACTCACTGATTTCAATGTTAAACCGGTGATATTACGATTTCGTACACCCCATCTTTAAGGGGATGCAGAAGAAACAGTGCACAATTCTTGTATAATGTTAAAAAATTAACTGTTACTTTGACAGCATCATTTACAACTAAATTTAATGAATGAGAAAGATGCACCAGGTACAGAAAAAGCTCTAGAATTTATTTTCCTTAACGATTTATGTATCCGTTTGTCATAAAAATTTCTTTTTCCACTTTTTTCCCAAGATTACAAATATTCGAGTACAAAGTAACCAGTTTCGACTTATTTCTACTTAAGAAGAAGTTAAATAATTAAGCGATTAGGGAATTAGAGACATAAACAAAACCCTGACAAAAGAGCTGAAATTTTACTTAAACAAAAGCTTAACCGTACCATCTCTAGCCGAGTACAGTGGGGACTGATTTCTTCGTATTATTAATGTAATAAAGACAGAAATTTTTCCAGTTCAATGAGAGTGACCAAAAAGTTGTAAATTTTGGAAATTTCCATGGACAACACCTGGTCCTAAAACAAATTAGTTAGAAAACAAATGACGGACAATCTATTAAGTTCAACATATTTAGATTTTTACAGCTATGATGAGAAATGTTTAAAATCTACAACAGCCCTGTCGCATCCTTTGAGATATACTAGTGATGCGACAAAAGAGGTATTTGACATTGACCAGTATCGGCACCCTGGGGATTTGGCAGTCTGCGTGTGTGCATGCTCTGCAACCGTCTTAGATTCCATCCATTAGCCACTCATAGGGAGCCATTTGACTAAGTGCATTGTCTTAAGATTTAAAAAGTAAAGAATATTTTATATTTTTATGTACATTTCTTTACAAAGCTATATTTAATTATAACTTTCTTTAAAAGTTTATTCATACAATTGAAGAATATTTTGTACCAGGTATATACCGGTACATCCATCACACATTTTATTTCACCAAGTAAGTTTTTATTATTTTATTTTTAATTGTAGTCATTATATCGTGGCTAGCGATTCAGAATGTAATTGTGATATTAATAATGCATTTAGAGAAGTCTACAGTTTTTCTGGCTTATCGAAGAAACGATACAAATGGACCCTAGACCATCAATGACGCGCAATTGACTGATTGTCCCTAGATGTCAGCTTCTTACAGAAACACAGCTTCCCTATCATCAAATGTCACGGCACACCACTGGCACGTATGTATCTAGCAAATACATGGTGTTTTTTTAATTAAATTTCTCAAAAATAAATAACAGTTGAACTGCAGGCTTTCTAGTATTCCTCAACTGATAAGTTTAAAATTACCGCGGGAATCGCTTCAGAACATATGGCCTTTTTCCCCAGAGAAATTTTACAAGAACCAATATCTTACCACCACCTGCAATAAACTTTCTCGCAGCACAAGAGTGCTGTACTCTCATGATTGTTGCACATACCAATGTAGAATATTTAACCTTTACCATAATGTTATACATTGTATCTTTTTCTCCTGGTTTCAATGACAGGATCAATCCCAATTCATTTCAAATAAGTCATTGCAGCTATTTTGACAATGCCGCAATTTCCTCGCTTCAGTGTTAGCCTCACTGTCTCCCAATCAGTTGCATGATAAGAAATGAAACACTTTCAATTTTTCAACAATTAAAATTTATGTTCATTACATAGCAATACCATTTAGTAATTGTGACCTAAACATTTATTTGGTAATTTTATCAATATTTTTTTAAATAATTAAAAATAAAATTACAGAATTCAATACTGGCAATACTAGTTGTCAAATCTAAAAGAAAACATTCCCGAGTACAATAAAACAATTTGTTAATCATTCGACCTCACATCTGACAGAGAAAGGAGTTTATGAAAAAGTAATAAAATGATTAGCAGTTTGTTGTCCTTCACAGTGGGAGACTGGCAGATTGTACTTTCACAGGAGAAAATATACAAAGCTTTACTACCCTGAATTTGAAAAATAAACAATCCCGTGNAAAAAGTTAACTAATCTAATAAAACAGAAAATATTTTAAAATAATTTTACTATAAAATTAAATTTCTTACGTTCTAATTTCATGCAATCTTCCAGCAAGTTCATAACATCTAGTATGATAGAAATAACATCTTGCAGCTAGTGTGTCTAATGTACGACGATTTTGACCTTGTATCTTTTGCATTAGTTGTTCAGAACAATTAACAGCCTGTATTAATAAATATTAAAAATAATATAAATTTATTAAAACTTTTAGAATATGCAAACTTCTCATCTTACAAAATAATCTTTAAATAATTTCAATGAAAATCTGTTAAGCAACAATAAATTTCCAATTAATTCAACAATGTTAATTAAAAATATAAGGATTTCAAATATGAAAATCTTATTGAATAAACATTTTATTATTCTAGATTAGTAATTATTTTGTCAAATAAGATTTAAGATTCAGATTTGATAAGGACTATCTATTTTGACAACTGATAAAAATTAGAGGTTCTTAAAATTGACTTTATTTATGGCTAACAGAAAAGAATAGTTTTTTCAACTAACTCTGATTTTTAATAATGTTTTGCAAATTATGCAAAAACATACCACTACTACATATTTAAAAAGATCATTTAATTTGAAGATAATGATCATCCATAGTAACTTTCTTTCCATTTAGCATTTCCAACAATATTTAATTTATTTTTGAATTTTAAAATCTAAGAAAAACATTCTTTTTTAAATTAAGTTTTATACATTTAAAGCTGCAACTTCAGATAATACAAAGATATAAGAATCCATCAAAAAGTTAATTAATAATAATTAAAATCGAAAAATAAATAAATAAATAAAACTTTCAAGGTAAGGAACCTTGTAAGTAATAAGTAAAACTTTCAAGGTAAGGAACACTTGTAAAAAGTCAAGCATGCAATCACATGAAGCCCATCTCTCCACTTTGTGTAACCAAACAATCAAGGTTGAAATAAAAGCCTAAACCCCAGTAGAAGTAAAAACAAATATTGGCTTATGTCTAGGACAATAAATTTGAACAGCAGTGAAGATGAAACATGACATCATGTAATTTATGCTAATTACCTTCTAGTATTAAAAAATTAAAATCTTCAATAAATTATAATTGAATTAACTATTTTTTTGACTGAGTTCAACTAAAAACGTATCAAAAAGCTAGATTAAAGTGAAAATAGCAGTTTTTCGACGTTAAATATTTACAAATTAATTTTTTAATTTGATGCCGGATTGACTGTGGGTGTGCAATTTATATTCGAATGAGCATGAGCATGATGGGTTTTAACTGGTTGGAACCAAACGCTCCATAGCATTTATTTATATGTTTCTCATAGCTTGAATGTTGAAAGATTGCAAGGAAATTTACTAGATACACTGATGTTGGAAGCATACAACATATAGAAAAGCTCCGGGTCAGACAACCTATGTCCCCAAGATGACACCACAGAACCATTTGAGTTAGTTTTAAGCATGCACTTTGCTTTGCTCATGGTTTACCAGCGGCATGTCATGACATTTGATGATAGGGAAACTGTGTTCCTGTAAGAAGCCAACTTCCAGGGGCAACAGTTAATTCTCTAAATATATTTTTAATAGATTATTTATCTGACGTACTTAATAAATAAACAAGTTCAATATAATTACCTCTGTTATTAGATTCAATAGATTCCCTATGCCCTCTAAATGCCAATTCTTGCTTTGATAAAAACATATAACATCTATTAATTTAGATAAAATATATCTATTAGCTGTAATTACATTGTTATAATTTTCAATATTTATTTTATATTATTTACTAATGTTAAATTCTATTCCGCTTTGATTTCCAAATTGCTTCGAATACAAAAGAATCGACGATTTTTTGTGTTTTTTGCCAGCTAAATTGTCAAAGCCATTCTTATTCCACAGACTAATTTCATTTGAAAATACAGTAGTAGGCAAGCCAACAAAACAATTTTTGCATTTTTATGCATCTACAGAGCCATTTTATCATGAAAATGTCAAAAATTTTTATTGAAGTGTTTATATTTAACTTAGGCATTGGCCTTTCTCTTTTAATAATGTTTCTTTTTCATTATATGATTTTGAGCCAAAACTTTTTTAAAATAAATTTTCAATATTGCAATTACATTCAAAATCGCTAGCCACGATATAAGGGCTACAATTAAAAATAAAATTATAAAAACTTACTTGGTGAAATAAAATGTGTGGTGGATATACATACCTGGTACAAAATATTCAATTGTATGAATATACTTTTAAAAAAAATTATAATTAAATATAGCTTTGTAAAGAAATGTACATAAAAATAACATAAAATATTGTTTACTCTTTAAATCTTAACCACTTAGTCAAATAGCTCCCTATAAGTGGAATCAGAGAGGATTTTGGTAAGTGTGCAGTGTGTGGTGATACTGGTTAATGTCAAATACCTCTTTTGTCGCATCACTAGTATATCTCAAAAGACGTGACAGGGCTGTTGTAAATTTTAAATGTTTCTCACCATAGCTGTAAAAATCTAAATATGTTAAACTTAACAGATTGTCCGTCATTTGTTTTCTAACTAATTTGTTTTAGGACCAGGTGTTGTCCACAGAAATTTCCAAAATTTACAACTTTTCAATCACTCTCGTTGAACTGGAAAAATTTCTGTCTTTATTACATTAATAATATGAAGAAATCAGTCCTCACTGTACTCGGCTAGAGATGGTTCGGTTAAGCTTTTGTTTAAGTAAAATTTCGGCTCTTTCGTCAGGGTTTTGTTTATGTCCCAAATTCCCTATTCGCTTAATTATTTAACTTCTTAAGTAGAAATAAGTCGAAACTGGTTACTTTGTACTCGAATATTTGTAGTCTTGGAAAGACAAATTTTTACGACAACTAATACATAAATCGTAAATTTAAGGAAAATAAATTCTAGAGCTTTTTCTGTACCTGGTGCATCTCTCTCATTCATTAAATTTAGTTGTGAATGATGCTGTCAAAGTAACAGTTAATTTTTTAACATTATACAAGAATTGTACATGTTTTTTTCTACATCCCCTTATAGATGGGATATACGAAATCGTAATATCACTGGTTTAACATTGAAATCCGTGAGTAATATAAAATCGGAGAGTGGAATAAAAATATCAAATATTTTAATAGATTTTTTAAACTCCTGTCAACTATACAGAACTATCATAAAAACATACCAGTAAATTCTTACCACTTGGGCTAGTTATAAATCTACTCGTGATTCACGTAATTGGGCGAGGGCGGCCAAATATCTAGTGGGCAGGCAGCTGACAGCCCAGAAAAGGTCCTGGATAGAATTGGATGCGGTATACGTGTAGCATCCACTCAAGGTCCTAGGCTTCCACCAGCTAAACCGGGTGAGGTTGGTGCTCTGTAAAGCACATGCGCGAATCTGGCTTTTTGGATGCTGACAATACAGCGCTTCTACTCCATAACTAATATTTGAATATACAATAGCAATCTTATTATTATTATTTTTTTCATGTGTAGTATAAAAATTTGTAATAAGACATATAATGCAGTTATAATAAAATATTGTGTGATTATTTTCATATAATTGAAATTAATATGTATTTATTTTTTAGAAAATACAAGGAAAGCGGCACATGTGGATGTGCTTCTAATGACGGCACACCACTGTTTCAATCCTATTTTCACTACTGAGCAGTATATTACCCCATTGCTGGCATGCTAATTTGGAGAACCATTTTACAAGAGTTGGTCAACTCCCTAACTAATGGTAGAAGGGAAATTGATAGAACAGATATTTAGGAAATCTTGCATCTGCATGTGTTGCCTTTCATGGAATGGCTGATATCAGCCATTTTCCAGCAAAATAATGCTTAACCACACAAATCTAGGGTTTCCCAGGAATAGTTCTATCATGTTGCCACACCTCCTTGATCTTTCCAATCTCCAGAGTTATCACATGACAAACAATTGTGAGATTAGATGGGCTGCCAGCTTTGGCCATCTACAAATGTGAGGAATCTGAAGCAGAAGTTACAATATCTGTAGGCAAATCTGTTTCAAGATACCATACAGTACCTACAGTATATCCACCATCAAATGTATCCAGAAAGAAGTTGTCCTATAAGGTACTAAAGACTCGTTTAAGTTGTTTCACTGTTACACAGATCCCTTTGTCTACAAATGTCCCTTTGCTATGATACTGTAATCACTTATTACCTTAATCATTATATTTGCACTAGCAAAGTTTCATTTAATTACAATGCCTCTTCCTTGGAGCATAACTTTTTTTGGTTCAATGAATATAATTTCATTTTCAATTCCTTAACAGAAAATAGAACTAGAAACATAAGCTAATGCTAAGCTATAAAATACTTTCTCACGATTTATAATAAATTTATTTATTAACATTGAATAGAAAGTTGAATAGTAATTTGCAATGTTTTTTTCTATTCGTGCAAAAAGTCTTTCATTAATTTGTAATTTTCTCGAAGTTGACATTAATTATAAAAACAAAAAAAGAAAGCAAATTCTTTATTTCATTACGTAAGAAACAGTTACTTGCATTTCTTTAATAATTATGAAGTTTTACTTTAATTTATGTTTAAATTATCACAAAATTTATAAATAAACGTATTTTTTATTAAAAATTTGTGTAGTGTACAGTACATTATTAAAATGTATTTAAAGTATGAATATTAAATATAATAATTTAAAAGTTAAGTTTTAATAGTTTGTAAAATTAAATATATTTATATATATATATATATATTAAAAGTAAAGTGTGNAATCCTACAAGTTGTTCTAAAACCAAAACAAATTTTCCCATAAGAAACAATATAAAATAGATTAATCTGTTCCTGATCCCCAAAATAAAACCTTTTTTTTTTACCTCTATTCATTACTTTTTAAAAAAATGTTCATTAAAATTTCTTGCATTTAATTAATACTGTTAAATACAATGCTGAATGCCAATTGTATACTAATGAAAAATGATTAAAAAAATTATATTTAATAATAAATTTTTGTTATTTAATTTCACATTTGACTTAAAGCAGCTTTAAACATGAATTCTGGGATGCCATTTATATCAGATCAGACGTTCCCAACTTATTTTAATCACAGAACCCTGAAGATATCAACAAATTAAAGCATACTAGGTATACTAGGTAGCCACTTTACATCAAAACTAAAACTGAAAGTAAAACTATAAAACTACAATTAAAAATAAAATCAAAATTAATTAATTAAAACTGAAATCAAATCAATGAAAATTAAAACAATATTTTTAAAAACAACCTGACGGTTGTTTTGAAATTTTCAAATTGTAAATCAAATTTATTTTCAAATTTATGTTCTGTATGTGCAGGAGGGGTAACAGAATGAATATATATATTACTGTGAAAGACCAAAATTAGAGAATGTCGACACATACAAAATATGTTGGTGAAAGTCCGAATATTTGGTTATATTATTATACATTTGAACAATCGCCAGTGTATGTCGACAAGCACAGATAAGCTTTGGTGGTGATCTAAACAACATCCGGGAAGCCAATGTCGACAGAGAGGCGACAGTCTGTCGCCAAATCCTTTGTGGGTAGCCAGAGATAGGACAAGGTCTTTTGATCCCGTGAAGTGGGGATCAGTTTGTCAGGTCGAGTGGTGGAGGATGAGAGGGGTCATTGATAAGGCATCGGCAATATCTGAATAAAAGACACCATTAACAGATCAGTTCGTAATCATGTAATAACGTAATCAGTTTGTAATTTGTAAAGAAAAGTTACTTTCCATAGATGAGATTTCTTCTCAAGAAATATCACTGAGAGATGCAGCTGCAGCTAATTCGAAAAGTGGAGGGCAAGGCTATACACGCTGTCATTGCAAAAAAACTGTTCCACAAATAAATGCATTTGTAAAAGCAAGGGACTCTTGTGCAATTCAAAGTGTCATAATAGTTTAAGTTGTTGCAATAAATAAGATTGTATAACATTAATCACATAATTTATGTGTAAGTTTATTATTGTATTATTTTCTTTAATGATTAAGAATGTACTGTTCGTTTTAAGTTCAACAGTTTATTTAAATGTACTTAAGCTTTCTCCTATTTTCACATATTAAAATGTTGCATTTTTGTCTTAACGTAATAAAAATATTTTTATTCAACATTCACCATCAGTGCATGCTGAATGTTTATATTTGCTTGTGTAAGTGAGAAATAATGATATTTAGCAAATATTTCATACATACACGAAACAACTATGTGAATGCTCACATTCACTGGAGAATGTTGACATTCACCAGATATCGGTCATTCACAGTAACATATATATATATATATATATATATATATATATATATATATATATATATATATATATATATATATATATATATATATATATATATATATATATATATATATATATATATATATATATATATATATATATATATATATATATATATATATATATATATATATATATATATATATATATATATATATATATATATATATATATATATATATATATATATATATATATATATATATATATATATATATATATATATATATATATATATATATATATATATATATATATATATATATATATATATATATATATATATATGAACTCAATCCAAGACTAGAACAATTACACTTCATATCCCAATTTTGCATTATCACATTCATGCATCACTAGATTCAACGGATTTTATTGGAAAACACCAAATTTTTATTGGCAGTACCCTAGAAATCCGCAGAACACAAGTTGGGAACCCTGTATTAGATGAATGTCAATTAATGCAATTTTTATTAATTAATTTAATTTTAATTCAACTGTGGCACATACTGAAAAACATAATTAATCTTTTCTGCAAGTGAACTGAAATCTAATTTAAGTAGCAACGTCATCAATGATTCATGTCATAATGTCTAATGATATGAGGTGGTCTCAGCACTACTAACTTCTGGATCAAAGTCCTGTCATTGACTTTCTTTAACATAAGAAGTAAAGGGAGTTGACTGTGTCTAATCTGTGGCCAGCTTTTGCCAAGTAGATTGTTTGGCAACTGGAGCAATTATGAGTTCAAATTTCTGTTCGTAAACTGATCTTTCTGAAAAGCGAGTCATTCAAAAACTGAGGTTTGACTATACTCATTTTCTTATATAATATAAATTAAAGTATTTATTACAGTACATAAAAGCAACTTCAAGACTGAAGTGATTTTTAAAATAAATTTTATTTGTTTTTATAGATTATTAATTAATTTATCAATATGAATCGCAAGCATATCATTTAGATAGTAACAATTTCATCCAGTACAGATAAGACAAATACATAATGGGAGTAGCCAGCACAGGATAAGGATAGGAATAATGCCCATTCCATGTTATATGATATTTACATGTTATTAAAAAAAATAAAACAGAGTATTATGCAGCATTGCTGCATAACACTCTGTTGATGGTTTTTGCCTTTTTTCTAGGTAGTTTATAAGTACCACACCCTGAGAATCCCAGAAAATAGTGACCATCACCTTTCTCATTGATGGAATAATTTCACTTTCTTCAGAGCACTTTCATTATTTTTCACCCATTATTTGAACTGCTGCTTCATCTCTGGTGTATAGTGGTGAATCTATGTTTAATCAATAGTGATGAAAAATTACATTTAAACATGTTAAAGCACTCCTGAGAAATATTCATTCAAATTTGTTTCTGGTCAAATGTTAATAAACATGGCACCCGTTATGCTGAGAGATTTTCCATATGTAAATGTTGTAAAGATGATCTATTGAGAGCTTTTCAATATCAGCAAGCTCACATACTTTCGCTCATTGATCATTTAATATAGAGCACATGGATTTTTGCAATGATTTCCTCGGTCATTGCGGTTTTTGAGTGACCAGAACATTCATTGTTGGAAATAGAAAAACAACCATGTTCAAATTCAGCAGTCCATTTCTTCACTGTAGAAAACAATAATGAAGAGTCTTTCAAAGAGGAATCCAAATCCTTTTTTATATCAGTTGGTATCAAACCTTTTAAAACGAAGCATTTTATCATAGTGCAACATTCAATTTTATCCATTTTTTGGAAACACCAAAACTTGTTTGCTTTGCTCAACTATAATAAACAAACTACTAAATGTACATGTTTGAAATTTCATGGTATGCCATCTAATCAATCATACTTGAGAAATATTCTTGCTATTTGATACTTCCAGCACCATCTCTATGTCATGCCAAGAACTTCTGAATTATACTCATATAAAAATCTTATTACTCACAAATTGCAACTGTAAATTTATTTTTATTTGGAATATCAAAATTATACAGACATGAAAATTTTGTTATAAAAATTTGATATGCTATACCTTTTAATTCTAAAATAATTTTTGTGTTTTAAATTTGTTACTATAGGAAAGACTGCAGTATGCATTAAAAAACAAAAGATTTCAACTATATTCCAAAACTAGTCAAATATAAAGGGGAAAAAGTTAACTAATCTAATAAAACAGAAAATATTTTAAAATAATTTTACTATAAAATTAAATTTCTTACGTTCTAATTTCATGCAATCTTCCAGCAAGTTCATAACATCTAGTATGATAGAAATAACATCTTGCAGCTAGTGTGTCTAATGTACGACGATTTTGACCTTGTATCTTTTGCATTAGTTGTTCAGAACAATTAACAGCCTGTATTAATAAATATTAAAAATAATATAAATTTATTAAAACTTTTAGAATATGCAAACTTCTCATCTTACAAAATAATCTTTAAATAATTTCAATGAAAATCTGTTAAGCAACAATAAATTTCCAATTAATTCAACAATGTTAATTAAAAATATAAGGATTTCAAATATGAAAATCTTATTGAATAAACATTTTATTATTCTAGATTAGTAATTATTTTGTCAAATAAGATTTAAGATTCAGATTTGATAAGGACTATCTATTTTGACAACTGATAAAAATTAGAGGTTCTTAAAATTGACTTTATTTATGGCTAACAGAAAAGAATAGTTTTTTCAACTAACTCTGATTTTTAATAATGTTTTGCAAATTATGCAAAAACATACCACTACTACATATTTAAAAAGATCATTTAATTTGAAGATAATGATCATCCATAGTAACTTTCTTTCCATATTTAATGCTTTAAAATTTAAAATTATTATTATTTTAATAAATCATGTATGCTGGAATAAATGATCAAATCTTGAATTCACCTCAAGACTAAGCTCAAACCTCTGATTTATACCGGTACTAACCCTTAAAATCAGCCCTCAAATCTACAGTAAGTTACTGGTAGGCTATAACTAAAATGTGATACACTACCCCCATACTAGCATATAGCATAAAAAGTTGCTCAGGCATTAACCTTATCATCTTTCAATACATGATAGAAATAGGACAGCCTACAAAAGGAATGTGGCCAACAGAATCTACATACGACACTACAAATTTTCATTATTAAATTGTCTTGGTAAGAATTCTACAGTACTGTACAGTACATCAGATCTACAAGTAAACACACTCCAACTGAAATCAAAACTTCCAATAAAATATTAATAGTTTACATAGCATAGCATCCTGACAATATTGCTACTCATGGTAAATGATAATAGAATACTGTGGTACACTTTTTCTTGTGCTCTACTGCTCACATCGGTGTCATGTAATTGACATATCAGTTGTTGGAAACAGTATATGGCATAGTGTTCATTTATACAGAATTTTTGTTATATTAAACTCTATATTAAATAAATTCACAAAACACAAGTTTTAGTCATGAATAATGGTGGCAGCCTGCTGAAATCACAGTAATTCGTACAAAGCAATTGTTAGAAGCACTGTTTCACTTGTTTACCATTTTGTAATATGATTCATATTTTATACCCACTGTATAAGTTGACCCTTAGTTTGTGTTTCGGAGAGAATTTTTTCATAGTTATAAATCCAACTTACATGCTAGTATATATGGTGCTTGTAATATTCATAACTGCTCTCAAATATCCAAGGAAACTTAATACTTAAACTTAATTGAATGAACTATCTAGCCATGATGTAAGAGTAGGCATTTCTTCCTAAATAGATATTTCATTCATTTTTCCATAACATTTTGAAAAATACAATATTCTCAGACGTTTATTCTAATCAGATATGTTTTGGTTTTCGAGCACACTTATCATAAGTCAAACCAGACAAACTAATCTTTCAAGTTGTCATCATGATTAAAGGAAGCTCTTAGTCACATTTACCATTTGAACTTTAAAATTGAATCCAGTATTTCTAATGTAAATCTAGCCTTATTCTGTACAATTTTTAACTTTTAAATTTACCTAGTCAAATTGTTTTAATATATATATGAAAAAAATTCAATTATATATTTTATTTGTTTTTTTAAGCTGTTTTTTCTTTAATTTAAACATGTATAAACTGATTCTTCACTTTCCATCATTTATATATGATGTCCATTCACTTCTTTCTCTGATAACAAATTGTTTTGCTTTCCTAATTAAAAAGTTGTTGTTGTTATATATATGTTTAGTGTAAAAATAAAAACTTGCTTATTAAAATTCACATTGTAACAAAGATACAAAAATAAATGAAAAACAATAACTTACACGTTTCATTCTATCAGGATTTTTTTGTGCTTCTTGACACTCTGAATCAATTAAGTGGAGAAGTACCAGAAGATGTATGTAAACATCTAATTCTGTTAATAATGGTGTTTGAGCTGCTCTTCCACTTCTTATTCTAAAATTACTGACGACTTGATTGTCAACATCCATTTGCTGTAAATCAAAAGACTTAAATGTATTTTAACAATTCTAGAATAATCCACAGAAAGTTATATTTTAAATTAAAATAGGAATCCATATTTTTGTAACAATAACACAAATTTATTAAATTTCATTAAACATTTATTAATATTTACTAATTTTAACTTTAATATAAAATTAAACAGCAACAAAATAAATGTTTTTACATCTTCCTATTAAATAAAACTTTTTAACACTTGGAAATATCATTTACAATACTACTGATTTTATTCAATAGCTAAAAATTACAAAAATAGTTATAAAAAATATAATATTTATAAACTAATCATATTGCTTTAAATATAATATTTATAAACTAATCATATTGCTTTAAATATACCATCCATAAAAAATTACTTTATGAAAAAGCCTAGAAAAGAGCTATAAGTACTTTTACATAAAGTAATATTTCTTAAGATACATAAACAAATATATATATGTACAGTAGAGCATCATTTATCCAAAAGTCGGTTATCCGAAAGAATTCCAGTCGGCCTAAAGTATAATTTTTATTTGTTTTTATATTTTTCAATGTATTTATTTCTTTTGTAAAACATAAAGAAATCATTTTTAACGATACAATAGTCACGATTATTATTTTAAAAAGTTTACATTAGGCTTAACATCGATGAAAATTCAACGTGAAGTGACACACAACGGAGAAAAATTTCAACACGGGATAGATTAATATACTTTTTCGCACCGAAAAATAAGTTATCCCAACAACCCCAGTCCCCCAATTGATTCGGATAAACGACGCTCTACTGTATATATATACAGTTTAACCTGCTTATAACGTCATCCATGGGACCGGCAATTTTTTGACATTATAACCGAGTGTCGTTATCTGCGGGGTCATAATTTCAGTTCCATAAAAGTATCAAGTCTGTTTAAGAATCTATTATAAAATTCATTAATTTAATATCGTATGTATAAAAGTGCAAACTAAATATTTAAATCAACTTTATTTACATTATTATGTCTAAATTTACAACGATGTAATTAAAAATTTCAAAAATTATTTTTTATAAGAAATTTTTATTTGTCAAGTTTCGATAATGGCGGCACTTTCGGTTTTAACGCCTGGATGATAATTTTCTCGTTTCTTGCTTATCTATCAATGGACATGAAGTCCAATATATTTCACTTTTAGGTTAAATTAATGTATATCAATTAAAAAAAAACAATAAAAATATTCACTTAAAAAAAGTCAGTTATTTTAGATTGTAAACTACAACACGAGTATGAGAGCTATGCAGACTAACCCACTGTCACGTCGTTTAAAGGGGTGGCGCATCTCACCCCACCGAATCAGGTGGTGACAGTACCACCCACAATCGTTCTAGGAAGGGACTCTGACTGTACACGTAGTATTTTCTTTGATAAATAAAATTTATAATTTAATTTTGTAAATTTAAGAGTACTTCAAATATGACGTTAAAACAGGGTTTTATGTCGTTACAAGTGGGTTTTTTAACATTATCTAGTATAGTAAAATTGTGGGAGCGATAAAAATTTGACGTTATATTAGGGTTGTCGTTACATCCGATGTCGTTATAATCGGGTTAAACTGTATATAAACTGTACTGAAGAAAATTTTTAATGATGTTTAAATTTAAAAACCTAATAAAGTGAAACATGTCTAAAACAAAACCTGAATAAACTGTAAAAAAATTTTTTGGAATAGAGCAATTTTTATGTTAAATTTGACTATGTCAGAAGCCTGTTCAACACAAAACAGAAGAGGTTTTTGGTCATAAAGAATGTAACTTAACTCCTGGATAAAGCAGAAAATTAACATTCCATTTTTAGATGAATAAGTAAAATTACCTCCAGCTTTAACAGTGATCACAAAACAGGACAAACTGTTTTCTGAGAATGAGTTTGAGTGTTGTCAGAGAAACAAATATCATGTGACAAGGTGACATATGGATACAAGGTCTTTGTTAGAATTAACCAACAGCAGAATCAAATACTTTGAAGAATTAAATGAGTTTCTGAGTTTCCAAGAACCAAGTTCTTTATAACAAGCAATAAATATAATTTATGAAAACAATGAGAGCAAGATGCTGCCAATATTCCTTATTGGAATACATGCTGTCTGAAAAGTTACTGTGAAGTGGAAAAGGTAAAGTTTAAATAAAATTGAAGTTTTATATAATATTGCAGTTTCTCTTATAGTGTGAGAATGGGAGGTTCTGATGTAATTCATCTCACAGGCAGTCTAAATAGTGTTGAAATTCGAGAATACACAAATATCTCAACCTTCATGGATTATCATCAAGAGTCTTAACACCAGTTAGGATAAAACTCTTCCATGTCCTAAATCACAAATAGGTCTTTACAAATGAAAAAGTACACTAAAATTCTACTGGAAATTTAGGAGGGTCTAACTTAAACGTTTGTAACGTGGAATACATGGGAATCACGGAAATCATGGACTAACCATGGAGTTAAACACTAATCAAATCTAACAATAATATTTAAAGGAAATATTTATTAACCATGGATGAACAAATTTATAATACAAATGAATTAAATGCTAATGTACTATAAAATAACACACAAAAAAAAACAACTGCTAAATCTAACTGCTTATAGAAGGAGATAAGATGAATGACAATTTCTTTCCTGACAGAGAGAGTTACAAAAGTCATATTACCCATAAACATATATACAGGATGTCTCAAATTAAACGTTTCAGAACTTCTAAGAGGGGTAGGATGCATCCCGACGACTCGGAATCATATAGCAACGCGGGGTTGGAAATGCTTTCCTGAAGCGGTGATGTACACAGACAGCTAACCTCTGGTGCAGGCTTACAAAGAAATTATGGTTGGGAATACAATATACCTCATTGGATAGCATTATGTGTACAAGCATTTTGCAGCTGGCCCATACACCAAATGCATATTGGCTAGGGTTTCTTTCCTGGGATCCCGTTTTCCCGGGATTCCCGCCGTTTACTCCTTACGAGAAAAATCCCAAGAAATTTTATTTTCCCGGGAAATCTCACATTTCAATACAGTAATAATTTATCATGTCACATTTTTTTCCTATCATTTATTATACAAAAAGTTGCATCCAGAAGACTCACCTAAGAAAGAAATTTTGAGGTTTCATGCTGCATATTATTACCTATGTTTTACAAGTCTCTACTTGTTAGTTCATGTAATATCTATGTATTGTGTTTGCGCATCATCGAACAGCAGAACACTTGCTGAAAGTAAATATCACTCATCGCACTTTAGTTTCGAATTCGCATTTATAAGTTAAGGAATTTGCTATAGCTTACATTCCCATTTATATCCTATCGTTTGTAACTGTAAGTGTGATTATTCGAAATTCCTATACAGTATTAGTCAATTACTCGTATTTTAGAACAATTTATTTTAATATAATTTATAAAATCAAACCATTGGTGTTTCAGCAGCAGGTCTTTTTGTTACCAAATTGAGAACTAGATTAAGTGATCAAAGTATCGATCATTTTTGTTTTTTGAAGTCTTATTATGAAAATTTATAAGTTTTTTTTGAGAGAAAGAGAGATTTTTGTTTTCATAAATTTTTTGAGTAGTATTTTTATGTTCAACTGAAAATAATTTTTTTTGGAGAAGTTGTATTTTTTGTTCAATTCAAAATAATTGTCTTTTTTGCAGGGCTGTGGAGTCGCGTAAAAATCTACCGACTCCAACTCTGACTTTTCCTTATCATCCGACTCCGACTCCGGCTAAAACACCAAAACTCCACGACTCCGACTCAACAGCCCTGCCAGGGCTGTGGAAGTCGCGTAAAAATCTACCGACTTCAACTCCGACTTTTCCTTACCATCCGACTCCGGCTAAAACATCAAAACTCCACGACTCCAACTCCACAGCCCTGCTTTTTTGTCATTAAATTTATGGAATAAGTATATTTTTTATTTCATCTTTAGAAATAAAGTAGTATTTTTTCGTAATCATTATTTCGTTCATTAAAACTCCCAATGAAACGCTTTATTTTACTTTCATCTTATAATGTAGGAGAACATAAATTAATTGAGCATAATGTGTTGGTATGGGTGAGATTGGCCCTACACTTTTAGTTACTTACTAGAAAATAAATTAAATTATTCAAATTTATGATATTCCTCTATGATATTTTTATTCATATGAAATTATATTTTACTATCTCATCCCGGGAAAAGAAATTATTTTTCCTGTAATCCCGCTTGAAGCAAATTTCCGGGAAATGAGAAACCCTAATATCAGCTAACTCTGCATCCGTGTGCAAAATGATGATTCCCTGCAAGAATGCTTGGAACTTTTGTGCAACGCCATCTACCACACCAGGAAAGCATTTCCAACCTCACATTGCTATATGATTCAGAGTCGTCAGGATGCACCCTACCCCTCTTAGAAGTACTGAAACGTTTAACTGAGACACCCTGTATATATTTGACATTAAACATTGAAACTCTTGGAAAGAGACATATGTTCAATTATGCTTTCTTCTGTCTCATCTTGATGGGAGAATGAGTGACAGGGCTGGAGAATCAGGAGCACATGAATAGAGAGTTGGGGAGAGGGAATAAGAGTGAGAGCCTTACAAAATTTCCATCCAATTGGATTATCCTCCATGTTTCCAACACATGACAGAAGTTAGGCAGTCTTGCAGATAGTGAGACATCTCACACTAACTTTAGCTTTAGGAGGAACTAAGTTGTTTCCTCCTGTTGAAAAGGAAGTTCCTTTTTCAACTCTACTTAATTTTAAAAGATAGATAAAGTTTCTATCGGAATAATTTAATAATTATTTTAACAAAATTTGCTAAAAGAATAATCTCCCAACTCCAGATTCTCACATATAGCAAATGCTGGAAATGTCCCCTGAAGGACAGGGAATTGAGGTCCAAAGATTTAGCAGGCAGCCAGATTTCATGGGAAGTTATGTGATCAGCAAAGAAGTCTTCCAAAAATCAGATCATCTGTAAGCATATAGTATCATCATCTACTGCAAAGTGAAACACAGGACATACAACTTACAGGTCTTGTAGACCAGTGTTCTGCAACCGGTGTGCCATCACAAGGTAAAAGGTGTGACGTAAACTTTTACATAGTCTATTAATTTCAAGTTTTATTTATATATTTTTATCACAGTCATTGTGTTTCTTATGCTTGTATTTCATTCGCTGATCAAATATGATGATGTTAAAGCAATAAACGTATATGTCATCCCAGTACTCACTTATTCTTTTGGAGTTATACATTGGACTCACACAGACCTCGAGCAACTCCAAAGGAAAACAAGAACAACGCTTACTAAGCATAAACATCATCATCCTAAATCCGCCACAGAAAGATTAACCCTTCCACGTAAAGATGGTGGACGTGGCCTGATTGACATAGTTAACCTTCACTACAAACAAATACAGTAACTGCGAGAGTTTTTTTCTACAAAAAACAAGAAACATCACAGTTACATAAAGCAGTAACTCTAGTAGACTCAAATAATACACCACAAAATTTACATTCACAATGTATGTACACAACATATAAATAGCATAGACACCATTAAGCAATCATGAGTATGAAAGGCACTCCATGGCAGGCATCCTTATGACCTGGCACAGGATTTTGTTGACAAAACTGCATCAAACAGCTGGTTAGCTTGGGATGTCTCTTTGGGGAGATGGAGGAATTCATGATTGCCTTACAGGATCAGGTCATAAATACTAAAAACTACAGAAAACACATACTAAAAGATATAACAATCATAAACAACATGTACAGAAAACGTCACATCATACTAGAAACTAAACAACACACCACTTCTGGTTGCGAGCTCTTGGCACAAACAGATTATTTACGTAGACATAATCAAGTAGCAAATATAATACACCAAGAGCTTGCAAAGAAGCACAAATTATTAGACATCCACAAACCATGCTACAGATACATTCCACAGACAGTATTGGAAAACAACACAGACAAAATGGACTACGACAGAGCCATAATCACAGATAAAACAATTTACAACAGACCAGACATCACATTCATTGACAAACAATAAAATCACATACATTATAGATATATCTGTTCCAAACACTCACAATGTACAAAACACATGCACTGAAAAAATCAGCAAGTACACAGAACTCACCCAGGAAATAAGGCATCTAGGGATGGATAGGGTGCTTATTGTACCCGTTGTTCTCTCCTCTACAGGTGTCATACCACACACGCTACACAAAAGCCTGGGAACATTAAAATTGAATCAAAACACACACATCACACTACAGAAGGACACTATATTGAATACCTGTCATATTGTTAGGACCTCTCTATAACGCTCAGATACGTTCCACATTAATCGAATTTTACGTTGTAGGAATGATTAAATACACGAGCCAATCGCAGCCCGATAGGTTGTGAAGTTTATGGAATAAGGCTGTTTGAAAGGTTTTGTTCTATAAAATTAACCGATTCTAGACTAATTCCACTCAACATTTCCAAAACATGTATAATTTTTTGGGAATAATCTGTATAAACTATGCTATAAACAAAAAATTATAGGATTACTTACCGAGTGTGCACCGTTCGACTACGCCATTGCTCAAAGCTTGTTTTCGTCGTGGAACAGCACACGAAACGGCGGCCGTGATTTCTGATAACAAATTTTTCGCAGAAAAATAACTTGACCTTTGGAGACATCATTAATATAAATAATTTTTATGGCCGTTGAATAAGAAATGTTTCTTTCACAAGAAATGTATAAAATTAGTGCTGTATTAGACTTACGGTAC